AACCTTGCGCTGTATTTATAGGGGACGGAGTTGGAACATAGTCTATAACAGAAGAAGAGTGCTATAATTTAATTTCCTATGCTTAATCTAGTCTACTTAAGTGAACTTTACCTGAAGTGAAAAGCAGCGAGGGCTTTTTGGTGATATGGCCCCTTATCTCCTCTTAGGAGGGCTCGCTTGCTGCACTGCATTGTATGAACTTGACGATTATCGTTGCGTCGATACGGCAGCCCCCGCGTGTGGATGGGCGAGTGGGTAATACATTTTTTGCTAAATCGTGTGGTAAACTGTGTCGTAAACAATGTGAAAAACCATGTGGAAAACCGTGTGAAAAACCGTGTGGAAAACCGTGTGAAAAACCGTGTGAAAAACCGTGTAAAAAACGGTGTAGTAGACCATTTGGTAAACTGTACCGTGAACCGTTTGGTAATTAGCGTGCTAAAACTTGCAGTAAAATGTGTCATAAATCGTGTAAAAACAGTTTTGACAAACCGTGTGGTAAACCCGTTTGGCAAACTGTATTGTAGACCTTTTGGTAAGCCGTGTGGTAAAATGTGTGGTAAACTGTGTGGTAACAGCTTGGTGAACCTTTTGGTAAATCATGTCAAAAACCGTTTTGTAATCCGTTTAGTAGGCTTAGTGGCAAACCGTTTGGTAAATCCTGTGGTATGCCGTTTGCTAGGCCGTGTGGTAAAGTTTGTGGAAAACCGTTTGGTAAACTGTGTGATAAAATATGTGATAACCCTTTTGGTAAATAGTGTGGTAAGCCGTTTAGATAACCATTTGGGAAAATTTATGGTAAATCGTGCGATAAACTATGTATTAAACGGTTCTAATGAACCGTGCAGTAGATGATGCGGTCTGAAAATGGGCGGCGAAGCGGACGTCTCATTTGCTCAACTGAGGCGTCGGTAGTGTCCGAGGCAGCTGCATCGCTCAGAAGAACAAGAAGAAGGAGGAAGAATAAAAAGGAAGATGAGTAGGAGAAAGAAGACAAGTAAGAATGAGTAGAAGCAGGAGGAGAAGGAAGAGCAGAGAAGGCTCTTGAGATTGAGAGATGTGGACTTGAGAGCAGATGCCTCTTAGAACTGGCGCCTGGTAGAGTACGTCATGGTGCCAGTAAATATGAGGTCAAATGTCAAATTGATTGAATGAAAAGATGAGAAATGTAAACACAAGATGGTTGGAAAGTGAGTAAATGAATTAAATTGTATGATGAAATAGGCAGTTCAATGATGGTGTATATGAATATAAGCAAAGTGGCGAGAGTGGTGTATGAAAATAAGTACTGACAGTCGATAGCTAGACGCTTCGATGGCCGGATGGATAGAGGAATAGATAGCTATGTAGTGAGCAGCAGACGGCTTGCGTATGGGTCTGGTGGTGTGAAAAGCGGAAGTGTGTCTGGAGGAGTATGCCTTGGCTGAGTGGGCAGGGAAAGTGGGCGAAACAGAGAGATGAGCAGCCAACTAAAACGACACGGATTCGGGGCATGGGAATGGGGGGGTGGGGGTGGGGTGAGGTGTGGTGTGGTGTGGTGTGATAGAGGGTTAAACAAAAACAAATGCCGCCGAGCCTTCGCCGCATGTGCAGGCTCGTTTGGGGGCTCCGATCATCTTGAACTGGCCGTGGCAGTCGGCGGTGCGCAGTGCGCGCCATCGCGTCGGGATGTTGGTGATCCCGGTACCGCGGCACTGGTGACCGAGATCGGGCCGCATGTAGGTCGGATAGCAGGTGACGCAGATCTGCTGTCGTGGACGCAGGAGGGCGGCGTGGTTCAGCCATGCGTGAGCCCAGGAGGCTTGACCGCCGGCCGCTTCGAGGTCGGCGAAGTCGGCCTCGGCCTCGACGTCGACGTTGACGCTGGCGGCGGCCTCGGACTCAGCGTTCGCGGGCGTCGGTCGTCGGTGGCGTCGAAGGCCGGCGGCGGTGCGCGCCTGACGCTGACTGTATCCGTGGGAGCCCCCGACGTAGCGACTGTAGCCAGCCCAGGACGAGGGCTCGCGGCTCGTCGGCGCTTGGTGGCGTCGAACTGTACCGGAGGCGCGACTCGACAGACTGGCCGTCCGGATCGCGTCACGTTGAACACTTCGGCGACGGATCGGCTTCACGTCGCTGTCGCCGCTGGTGAAGGCCCACATTGTGTTCTTCACCTTGCAGGCCGGGTTCGTACGAGTAATCTCGTAGATTGCGCAATAT